TCCAATGACAAAATTGACATCAGAAGGCAGAATAGTCCTCGCCGGTTTGGCCCAGTGGATAGAGCATCGGCCTGTGGACTGAAGGGTCCTGGGTTCGATTCTGGTCAAGGGCACATGCCTGGGTTGTGGGCTTGATCCCCAGTAGGGGGTATGCAGGAGGCATCCAATCAATGATTCTCATCATTGAAGTTTCAATCTCCCTCTCCCTCTCCCTTCCTCTCTGAAATCAATAAAAACATATTTTTAAAAAAGAAGGCAGAAATAACATACAATGCATCAAAATATGTTTTATGACTTAAAATTTCTACCTACTTTCTCCCTATACCCCCAAATCTTATGAAAGGAGAATAGCACCCTATTAGAGATTTTAAAAAACAACATAATAAAACTGAAATTATTTACTGCTTGAGGCCTGCAAAGCACTTACAGTAAACATAGGATGGGGCAAACATAGGTTTACAGTTGTGAGTACACCAAACAGTTTATTCTAGTATTATTAATGATTGTATTTTCCATATGAACTGTAAACCTACTTTTGCCCACCCCATATAAATGGCTGATATGAGATTCATTCTGTTTTTGATGGGGGATTTGCCTACAGAGGAAGACACTGGGTGCTTAGAGCATAAATCCCCTCATGTCCAAGTTACTGTGAATGGGAGGAAAGAACACAAAAAAGTAAAAGCTGAGACATGGAAGACAAGTTACCTGGATATCCGCATAGCTAGGAGTTAGCTATGTGTAGACTAATAGAAGCTGTACCCAGCGGTTGAGGTTCAAGCGAGAACTGAAAGTTACCCTTGAAGCATATAACCCATGCTAATACATTCCACATGACTCCTGAACTTCCTTTAAGACAGCAACCAGATTATAAAAACATCTTTGATTTCAAGGCCTCATTAATGAGGTCACCATCCTACTCACTGCCTACAGTAGCCAGTATGGCTCTAGGTCAGTGGTTCTCAATCCTGGCTAAATATTAGACTACCCCAATGCTGGGCCACACCTCAGAAAACTGATACTGGTTTTCTAGGTTGTGGTCCAGGCATTGGTATTGTGGACGAAAAGGGGCCACATGCTAACCTGACTAGCTCAGGAAAGGCCTGCGTGGCAACCTTGCAAACTCAAGAAACCTAAAGTAACCACAAAGAAAAAAATTTTTAAAAATAAATAAAGTAACCACAAAGGATGGTCTGAAAAGCAGTCTATGGTAAAAAGTCTTGTCCTAGGTATCTTCCCAGCAGTCTATGGTGGGTAGTCATGTCCTAGGCCAGTGGTCGGCAAACTGCGGCCCCTTGAGTGTGGCTCTTCCACAAAATTCCACGTATAGGCGAGCACGTACAGTGCAATTGAAACTTCATGGCCACACTCAAGGGGCCAAAGAGCGGCATGTGGCTTGCGAGCCGCAGTTTGCCGACCACTGTCCTAGGCCAATATCTTCCCTGGCAAAGATCAACTTCGATTTTTACTGAGCCTATTGTCTTTTTGCACCTAGATAACATACCTGTGGAATATCAGGGTAACTTGTAACTTCCCTTTTTCCAGACCCCTCAGGGCAAAACCAACGTGCCAAGGCTCCCACAAACTCCCTCATTGTTATTGTTAATTGTTGACTGTTAACTAACTATCCTGTACCCACCTATGTGAAAGAAGCATGTGCCCTAGCTGGTTTGGCTCAGTAGATAGAGCATCAGCCTGCCGACTGAAGGGTCCTGGGTTCAATTCCGGTCAAGGGCACATGCTAGGGATTGTGGGCTCGATCCCTAGTAGGGGGCGTGCAGGAGGCAGCCGATCCATGATTCTCTCTAATCACTGATGTTTCTATCTCTCCCTCTCCCTTCCTCTCTGAAATCAATAAAAATACATTTTTAAAAAAAAGTAAAAGAAGCATGTGTCTATCATTTTACTTTTTATCCAATCCCAGAGTTTTCCTCCCCTAACCACCTTTTACTTTCTCCTGCCTCTCTAATCAATCACCAATGGAGTTCATGTAACCCACTTATGTCTCCTCCTTTGATTGCAATGTATGAAACAAGGTGAAAAACCACCATTATCCAGAGCATTATCTCAATACCTGAGATTCTGCTTCCCAGCAATTGTTGACAGTTTGGCTCAAATAAACTCATAAAGTTCTTTACAGGTTTGAATGTTTCTTATATTAACAGTATTTTTTAAAGCTTCCTCCAGGTAATTCTTATGTGCCAAGGATCCCTAGAATCACCACTACTGACAGTCAAGAAAGTTTAAAGTTTATAAAATGCCTGCCACTTTCAATTCTAGAATAAATGTCCATTTGGAAGAATGGAGCAAATAATGTAAACAGTGTATTGCTTCTCTCTCTCTCTCTCTCTCTCACACACACACACACACACACACACACACACACAGTAAAGTTGAAACTGGTGAGTTTGGCACTCAGTAGAGCTCTTCAGGTGAGAACTCCTGTGCCTAAAAGGGGGTTGGGTGAGAAAAACTACCAATGTTGTGAAACGACTGAAACTGATTTCATAAGAAATACCTAAATCAGAATCTTCTGCTAAAAGAGAACTTACAGATCTAAAAATGTTCAAACAGGTCCGTGAATCATTGCAGGCCCCTGTTGATGTCTTCACTAGTCAAAAAGAAAAACTAATTACAGTGTAGTAAGTTGATCATAAAGCAAAGACATCCAACATTTGGGGCTGTTTTTACTTTTATAAATAATGGTGGCAGTAAATATAAGGACTCTTTATTTTTAAAAATATATATATTTAGTTGATAAAATGAACAGATACTATGTATGGCAGCCTCACAGTTTTTTACTGATCCACAAAATCCCAGTGCCTGGAAATCACTGATCTAGTGATTCAACTGTTTTATTTTTTTAACAGAAACTGAGATCCAAAAGTTTCAATGAACTCGCACCTGCAGACAGAGAAGGGACTAGATGCTCTGCACTTCATTAATATCGGAAGTGGTTCCACTGTAATACTAATATTTACACCTTTACACCCCTCTGGAAAAGGAGGAATCGAATTTTAAGTGTATTTTTTAGACAGTTTTTTAAAATCTTATGGTGAATCCTTTTGCAATCTTAAGTACCTATTATTAAATATTGGAGTTTTCTAAAATAAGGATACACACACACACACAGTGCCCCCTTGGTACACTTCAATTTTCTGGTGGAAAAATAATAGTGGATGCTGCTAAGCTGTTTGGAGGCAGGGGTGGGGTTGGGGACAGGGTAGGAGTGTGGGGATGGATGGGCGTTCTAAGAGGGGAGTGTTGGGGTCCAACCCCAGCAGGTCCAAGGGTTCCCAAAGGTGTGGACGGAGTCGGCGAAGAAGAAATGACACAGAGACAGTGTTCAGTTCATCAGCAGCCTAGCCAGGTTCTGTCTTTATTCTCCTGTTATATCTGTATTTATACCAGTTGATTTTAATCCTATCCATTCTATTCCAAAGGTTAGGGCGTTTGTTATCTCCATTCCAAGGTCACTACTCTATTGTTCTGTTAAGCTACAAGGAAGTAACTGAAGGAGATTATCCTAAGTAAAGATTATGTAGCTTAAGCGTGATTGTTCGTAAAGTGATTAACTACCTTAGTTAAGGGGTTTTACTGATTTATTCCTTTCCTTAGTCCTGTTAATCCCTAACTCCAGGGAAAAATCCCCACCTGGGGAAACAACCTTTCTCAGAGAGGTGACCTTGGTTAAAACACATAGCGCTAAGTAGGGGAGCAAACCTATTAAGAACAGTATGCCATATACGCCAGGTCCCTTGAAACATATGCTGTGCAGATGTCTCTTCCCTGCAGTGACTGTGTCAAGCAGCAAGGACGGACCGGCTTCCGGCAGGGGAGTTCCACGTATATAGATTTTAAAATCATCATACAATGTGAGCTTTCAAAAATCGACAGTGGATATAGGTATAGGTGTAACAGGGCTTGCCATGAGTTGGCCTAATTGTTGAAGCTGGGTGTACCTGGGGTCTCAGGTTACTATTCTCCCTACTTTTGTCTGTGTTTGAAATGTATGTGTTTGTTTTGTTATTTTTTTAAGTATCTAGGTTTCTTACAGGGAGTGGAACCCAGTTACCCAACCACAGGCTTTACTGACTAGGGCATATGACTAGGTCAGTGGTCGGCAAACTGCGGCTCCTGAGCCACATGCGGCTCTTTGGACCCTTGAGTGTGGCTCTTCCACAAAATACCACTTGCGGGCGCACACGTACAGTGCGATTGAAACTTCGTGGCCCATGTGCAGAAGTCGGTTTTTCGGCCTGGGCGAGTCTATTTTGAAGTGGCGTTAGAAGAAGTGGGGGGGGGGGGGGGTGTCGGTCGGTTGGGTGACGGGATACACAGCGCGGGGGAGGCGCACCCAATTCATGCAGGAGTTGAGTGAGCCAGTCAGTCAGCAGTCTCATTGTGCAGTGGTTAGTGCCAGAAGCGTCCACAAATCCCACGCGGGTGACAAAAGTAAAGTTTATTAAGTTAATTTTAGGGAACGTTGTGGAGTGAAAGAAGATGTAGTGTCGAGGATTGAGAAAGGTATGTTGAGATGGTTTGGACATATAGAGAGGATGAACGAAAGGAGATAGACGAAACAAGTATACAAGACGAGTGTGGATGGGAGAGTTGGAAGGGGTCGACCTCAGCGAACGTACCTCAATCCGATTGAGGACGTTTTTAGCAAAGGCCAGCTTAGGAGTACCCTAATTAAGTTAATAACTATGTACCTACCTATATAGTTTAAGTTTAAAAAATTTGGCTCTGTTGACTAATGAGTTTGCCCACCACTGGACTAGGGCATAAGATGAGGAGGAGCAGACAGCATCCCCCGCCCTCTAAAAGCAGGCTCTCACCAGTCGTTGCCAGGACAACAGCACAGCTCAGCGCATTTTCAGCCATCAGCCGCTCCACTACCTGAGACCTTCCGGCAAGTTCCCGGAAGCACGAAGACCCTTTCCCTCCCAGGCCTGCCTCCGGAGGCCCCAAGGCGCCCCGGCCCCATTGTTACTCACCCGCCTCGCTGTAGACCAGGCGCAGCACCCGGCCCAGCGTGGAGAAGGCGCACCTCGGCTGGCACAGCTCCTGTCCCGCCACAGCGAACGCCTCCACCTTGCAGCCCGCTGCCACGAACAGCGCGTCGGGGCCCCCGCCGCAGAACCTTTCGGGCTCCAGCTTGCAGGGCACCACCTGCTGCGACCCGAACGGGTGCAGATTATACAACTGCACCATCCCGGCCACGGCAGCGAGCCAGTCCCGGCGTCCGGGGACCCCGCGCCGGCCGCAGAGGCAGGACCACTTCCGTGAGTGAGAGCGATTGCCGCGTCACGTGAGCGCCAGCCGCCCGCCCGCGGCTCCGGTTGTTAAAGTGGCCGCTGCGGGGCGGGGCGGGGCGGAGCTGAGGCTGGGAGCGTGGTCACAGCCGCCCGCCCGCCCAGCTCCGCCCCAGCCCGGGCTGCGCAGGCCCAGGGCCAGTGTCCCTTCGTCTTTCACGTTACCGCTTTGGGCCAGGAGAGATTTTAGGCCCTGGAATACGTTTTCACATTTAGTCATCTGCTCTCATGTACTATTTCCTCCTTGATTCAGGGGCATCACTAATGTCCCCCACCCCATCCCCAGCCTTGAGCCTCTGGAGCAGGGGTGGGCAAACTTTTTGACTCGAGGGCCACAATGGGTTCTTAAACTGGACCGGAGGGCCGGAACAAAAGCATGGATGGAGTGTTTGTGTGAACTAATATAAATTCAAAGTAAACATCATTACATAAAAGGGTACGGTCTTTTTTTTTTTTTTTTAGTTTTATTCATTTCAAACGGGCCGGATCCGCGGGCCGTAGTTTGCCCACGGCTGCTCTGGAGTGTAGGGCTGCAATAACTGAAGTGAGGTGCACACAGCGCAACTCGCTACTAAATACAGGAGGAGCTGCTCAGGAATACTTTAAATTCTAGAATGGTTTAGTTGGAAAGAACGATGCCTAGAACGTGCTTGGCAAAAACAAACAAGTTTGTGGAATGAAAGAATCTGTGGACATCATCTAGTGAACTCCAGGTATTTGACAGGTTAGTTTGAGCCCCAGAGAACAGAAAAAAAGGAGTAAGGGCCAGAAATCCACTGGCTCTCAGTCCTAAAACTATCCGGTAATCTGTATCTATTCCTAACATCTCAAACGTGGAGTCTGTGCTTGTAATCCTACATACAAGAGGGTAAGGTGGTTATGCAGCTGTAAGTCTGTTCCTCCCCATTGATAAGTCCTGGTGATTTAGACTGGTCCTTTTCTTCCTGGTGCATAGAGGGAGACACCTTACACGGAGAGATTTCCTTTCTAAAGACAAATGTCCCTACAGAAGGGTGACTTCTCTGTTTTCAGAACTTCTGTTGTATCTGCTGTTTCTCAAAATAATCCTGAGGCCAAGAGGCCTAGTTTTGGGTGGCATGCTCTGCTACCTTTTAAGGTGGTAGAGGACACTGTTAAAAAACAAAATTCAACCGAGTGAATTTTTTATATATATATATATATATTTTAATATATTTTATTGCTTTTTTACAGAGAGGAAGGGAGAAGGATAGAGAGTTAGAAACATCGATGAGAGAGGAACATCGATCAGCTGCCTCCTGCACATCTCCCACTGGGGATGTGCCCGCAACCAAGGTACATGCCCTTGACCGGAATCGAACCTGGGACCCTTGAGTCTGCAGGCCGACGCTCTATCTGCTGAGCCAAACCGGTCAGGGCCAACCGAGTGAATTTTAAAGATCTTATTGGCTTTATTCAACGATTCATGAATTGGGCAGCATCCCATCTAGCAAATAGAAAGGATCTCCAACAAGCTGTACAAAATGATAGACTTTTATAGGCAGAAGGGGGTGGGACAGAAAGTTATACAAGCAAAGAGCTGGTTGCTTGTGGCAAGGTCACCTTTCTTTAGGGGATGGCAGGGATCTATCAGGCAGATGACCTCACTAGTGCCTATCAGGTAATTCAGATTAACTGTTTATGATTTCACTTCTGGAGAAGGCTGTCTTAAGTTAGAAATTAAGTCTCCATTTGGTGATATGGAGCTTAGCACAAATGATTCCATTTTGGGTCTGTTGTCTCTCTTTTTAAAAAATATATTTTATATATTGATTTCAGAGAGGTTCTAGAGCAGTGGTTCTCAACCTTCCTAATACCGCAACCCTTTAATACAGTTCCTCATGTTATGGTGACCCCCAACCATAAAATTATTTTTGTTGCTACTTCATAACTGTAATTTTGCTACTGTTATGAATCATAATGTAAATATCTGATATGCAGGATGTATTTAGGCGACCCCTGTGAAAGGGTCGTTCCACCCTCAAGGGGGTCGCGACCCACAGGTTGAGAACCGCTGTTCTAGGGAGAAGAAGAGAGAGATAGAAACATCAGTGATGAGAGAGTATGTGATTGATTGTCTGGGGATCAAGCCTGCAACCCGGTCTTGTGGCCTGACCAGGAATCAGACTGTGACCTCCTGGTTCATAGGTCTACGTTCAACCACTGAACCACACTGGCCAGGCTGTTGTTTCTTTTTTATCAAAACAAAGAGGATATACCCAGTCCCTCCTACAAATGACTCCATAGTTCCAAGTGCAGACAGCAAGAACACAATAAGCATGGAAAAATTACTCCTACTTTTGTTATTCAGACAGGGACCTGGCCCTGAGTGTGTCTGCCTTGGGCCAGCTTGTAGTGTGTGAATTCTTGACTTTGTGAGAAAGATTTCACAGCACAAGTTTAGGTGCTTTTGAGAGTATGTTTATTAAAGCTGGGAACAGTGAAACAAGGAAGGGCTTAGGACTGAAGAAGCAACAGGGGAGAGACTAGGCGGGACAGAGAGGACTCACTGAGAAGTAAAAGTCACAGTGACACAAGTGAGCCAAGGTGGGGTTGCTATTGCCTCACTGAAAAATCAATTAAAAAGAGAAACTCCAGGGACCTTGGAGACAGAATCAGGGGGTGCGCCTGGGATGAGCTGCCAATGCCCATTGCTTCCCTTGCTTCCCTGGTTGTAATTCTCTTAGAGTTTATGAGATGCACACTTGTGGGGGAGGGAGAGGGGAAAGGGAAAGGTGCAGGCGTGCTCCCAGGAGAGAGAACACACTACAACCCCCCCCCCTTTTTTTTTCTTTTACAGATTTAGATGAAGCAGGTGTTGTGGCTACTCTTTCCAATTCATCCAGAAAATCTGTATTTAAGTATTGATTGAGGGATGTTGTTTTTGGCACGCAGGGACACAACTGGAAAGAAAGAGCAAAAATTTTTTCAGTCAGTTTCTAGTTCAGCCCCCTCATGAGCCCTTTCTTCCAAGAATTTACAAAGCAAGTGCAATTGCATTGAAGTTAAACCCTGCCTCTATTTCCTGTGTCCTCCAGAGGAATAAAGTACCCCTAAGTAATATTCTTCTTTTCTTCACTCAATCAACAGGGACTCCAGGAGACAACAGGCTCATCAAATCAGTGAGGCAGAGATGTGGACAAGCAGGTTGCTCTGGTCAACAATAGAGGGCTGAAAACTCATAGAAGGCTGCTATAGAAAACAACCAGCCTAGCTGCCCATTATTCATTTGTTTTAGATACCATACGCATGAATACCCCTTTCCCTTCACCAGTATCTGCCATATTGTCCTTTTTTGATTAATTTTCTCATTCAAGGCTGAAAATTACAATTTCAGTACTAAAATAAAATTTCAAAACTGAAAGTACAATTTCATGGTAATTTCACCTGCATAAAAATGTGTTTTGGAGAAAGAGGTTAATATTTGCTCAAAGCTTGGAACCCCAATCCCTTCTGGGGATAGCCACTTCTCCCTTACTATAAGGGTCCCTACCACTGGCTTATCTAAGATTCTTGGGAAATAGTCATGCTAGTCAGTCAATTTCCTGACTTCTTGCTGTGTCCTCACTTGCCAGCCAGGATCTCAGAGCTGGAGTTATACATTGTTTCGATTATAGAACACAAACAAACCAGATACTGGCTTTCAGCAGCGAAAGCCTCAGAGCTAGAGCCAGAGCTAAAGCTGGCCCAGAATAAAAAAAAAAAAAAAAGAAAAAAAGGACAGGTTGGGAGCTTCAGTCAATCGCCAGCCTGAAAGCAGCCCTCAGCCCCTCACCCAGACTGGCCAGGCACCCCAGTGGGGGACCCCCACCCTGAAGGGTGTGTGACCAGCTGCAAACAGCCATCATACCCTCATCCAGGCTGGCCAGGCACCCCAGTGGGGACCCCCACCCTGATCCAGGACACCCTTCAGGGCAAACCAGCTGGCCCCCAGGCCTCTATCCTATATAGTAAAAGGGTAATATGCCTCCCAGCACCGGGATCAGCGGAGCCGCGAGGCCCTCCTGGCACCGGATCAGCGTGACAGGGGGCAGC